TAAAGCATTACAACGCATAAAGCACACAACGTTCTGTCATCAACTCAATATAGATCTAAAATAATTAGTTTATGGGGGGGGGGGTGTAATGGGTGCTCCATATATCACGTGATCTAACACGTCATAAACTGTATTTAAAAGTAGTTAACAACACTTAATGTAATACTCATGCTTCTTGCACATCACTAATCATGTTGATGAGTAATGAGTTGCCTGTTTAGGAATGGCGTCAGGAGAGAGGGACAACTGGTGTATGTACGTGTTTCCTTTAGTTGGAAGAAGATATGTGTTAACCACCAATTGTTATGACTACTACAGAAAGCTTGTGATATAAATACCACTCGAGTATTCCGACAATGGTATAGTTATGTTGAATAAGTAGCCTTCATCTACGCGCGTATATCGTATTTTGCCAATAGTGAGAGCAATTTCCAAGGTGTGGCCTGGGACAGAGAGGTGCCCAATATGCTAGATAGTCTTCGATTCAAGTATTGCAATAAGCACATAGATGCTCTCCAATTTTCTATGCGCGGGTCCCGACGCGATCACTCCGCTTAGTATAAGTCTCAGATGGCGCTGATCGCACCCTTTTCTGCCACTGGGTGCGGACATGTGGGCTCATATCATAACTGATGAGCTGTGGCCTATCTCTGCTGGATAGAATGTACGGCTGAGAGGAGTGGGCATCAGGCCAATAGATGCATGTAGAAGTCCATCATAGTCATAGACTCAGTAGGGACTTTAATTCTATGCACGTCGAAGCGGCATACGAGGTCGCGATATCTGTTAATGCCCCTCACGAGCTTCCTGCTCTCGAATGAGAGCCTGGCCAGCCTCGACTGCAGGCTCGCGATAAATGCTACGGCCATGGCGCCGAGAGCCACAGCGCGGCACGAGAGAAGCGATATTGGCGAGCCCGAGGTCACAGCGGAGGCGAGAGAGGCCCGGCTCGGATGCTCAAAGGCGCCATGGCCTCGGCGGCAAGCATCGTGTCGGCGAAGTCAGGAGATCTCGAGGGGTGGGAGCCAGCGTCTCGACTAGAACGAGCTGGCATTCAGCTAGACCGGGAGCGCGCTGCTTGACCGCATGAATTGCTCGCTCACCCCTGAGCTCCCGGCAGCGTGATAGCTGGCCTGGTCTCACTCGCTTTGATTGCTCTCGACCAACACTGCCATCATTGCATGGCGACCCTCCAGTCGCCCTGCCGTCCGAGCCACCCATCGCGGCATCTGGCCCTAGAAATCGGATGGAACATTCGCGGCCATAAATCGACTTCCCGTGCACGGCCGGACCGTCTCGGAGCGATGTTCCGCGGATCGGGGAGTTAAGAGCCTCTCTCCAGATCAAACAATGTTTTTGGAGAGCAAGGCAAGTCTGTTTGTCGGAATACTCCAGTGGTCTTTGGACCAGAAGCCTCCTACGGCAGTGATAACGAGTGTGGTTAACACGTATCTTGCTTCTTCTCGGCTAAACAGGCAGCTCGTTACTCATCAACGTAATTAGTCATCATTTCTAAGATGAACATGAAAGGTCAAGTCATTCGACGCTACTTATAGCTGAGCAGATTGGCGAAAGGTAGGGAAGTATTCTTCCTACTTGCTTCAGTGCGTGTAGGAAGAAATCTAATTACTAAAGCCTATCACAACATTATTTATTGCAAGCCAACCGTATAGAAGTTGGACAAAAGGTAGCCACCCCACGGCCCGCCAGTCCATATCCTACCCCTGCCGTTCTGGCGCCTACAAGACGAGCTCATTCAATCAAACCCGTTGCAGAGTCCAGCTGTCTTGCTTTCTCGGGAATATTATTGGAAGCCACGTGTTCGTTTATAGTCGTTATTGTTCAGCACGTGGACACGATTCGGTCATGCGCTAGACGAGGCTCCCACCTACAGCTCGGTATTTAAGCTAGTCTGGATTTGGCCTAGCTACCATTCAGCTATACTAGAAGTGCAATTGGTGTTGGTTCATGGCATTTTGATGTAAAGGCAAATAAATCCTTCATCTATCTTCCTTTGATTATTCGAAGAGAAATAACAATCAAAGGTTACAGGCCCGAGGGATATACTAGAAGAAAAGATGAATGTCCAATTTTTGCATCGAGTCCGTGGATGAGACATGGGGGACCTGCAGATTCTCATGTAGTATAAAGTTCTGGATAACCCCGAGGCCGAACACCACAATATCGCTCATGGACTTTGTGCAGTCTTGGAGCATATCTGAGATTTGGATATTAGGGTATTATGCTTACACTACTGCATGCACTGAGTAGGGAAGAGACTTAGGCCTGATAGCCGTAGAATTAGGCTAGCGAACAATAGCGGTCAGTACACATTAACCTTTCATCATAAGAATTCTTTCTTGACATCCTAGACGAAACCGCAATTAGAACCCCTCTCAGACTCAGCGCTTGCCATTGAAGGATAAGCAAAGTAGTAGATGCGTGACAAGATTAAGCAGTCTAATGCCATTACGAGGCTAGAAAACCTCTAGGGGATGGCATGGGTGTAGAGGTACATGAGGTAGTGGGGCAAGTAAGATGGGAGGCATAAGAGGGGATTTACTACTGGTATAGTTATCCTTGGCCTGTAGGCAGAGAGGACCTGCATGTCCTACATAGTCATAGACTCAGACAGGACAATAAAATGAATTTAAAAAAAGATAGGAAATACCTCGTTGATCAAACTGCTTGGCTCAAAGGTAAGCGTATAGAACAGCTCGTATCATTGATATGCATCTGAAACCAAGCAACGCTATGTAAATCGGAGGAGTCATGGGCAATCCGCAAATGAATAGGAAGATGAGCACGGTTGGTTGGGAAAACCAAAGTCTATCAATCGGATTCAAGCTTGAACGCCACAGATATGCACACATATCATTTAACATCTGTCTGTATGTGTGAGAGAGTAGATAGCGTGGGATTGAGCCAAGTCAAGTCGCGCCTCCGCGAAACCTTCAACATCGCTGCCATGATACCAGTGGCGATTTCAACCCTGTACGTTGAAGCATGTCCAGCTGAGAGTCTGTCTCGGGGAGAAGTTTTTGAAGACAGCCACGTTGGAGTTGCTCGGGTACAGCGATATAGGTAGAGGCCTGTGCCTCACAGGACAAGCAAAGGGGAAAATGCGACTGATGTTGGGGACGAGCGGGTGTCGACTTTGCGGGAGGTCGAAGTACTGAGGGTTGAGGGAAGGCGGAGATAAGAACATTCGGAAACATGGACGCTCAGACCAAAGGCAGGCCACATACTACCAATCCTAGTCCTGAATGCTGTAGAACATGGTATGCTCTACAGCGAGGGGAGAATGGAAGATTCGTTTTCGGCTTGAAAGTCAATGAAGCTTGATCTTCCAGCTGACGGCCGGCATTATATGCACGGTGTAGATCGAAAATAGCAGCACACTGCGGGCATATGAAACGGCGGCCCGAGTTAGTAGTCTTCCATTGCAGCGTATCCGCGTGAAAGAAGGTATTGGCGGACATACGAACGACCATGCCATAGAATAGCAGGGCTGGGTCTTGTCAATGTTCATTAGCAATGTGCTGTTGCTTCTCCCTACTCCCTGGCAATTGTCACGTGTATTATGGCCACTGTCTATCCTGCTTTGGCTGATGAGATCTTGAGCGCACGAGCCGAGGCTGTCATCTGCCCCTAACAGCACCCAGTATGCCATTGCCTCAACAACTAGCAGCGCTTTAGAAGAACTTGACTCTCTCGAACAATCTAAATCCAGAAGGAGGCTTGTACAGTGAAGAGCATGAATCCTACAGTTCTTCATATTCAGCTGTTTATGAGGACTAATCCAATAGATGTCATGCCTCACTTGCATTCATCATTGCCGATTGCCATTGACAAGCATATTCTTCAATAACCTGAATTCTGGACTAGCATGTATTTGCTGTCCGGCCCTGCGATGCTTTAAATACGCACAGGACAATGACTAGACTATATATGCAGAGCTAGACAAGGTATATTTGCTTGAAACATTCTGAAGGCTCAAGAAGCTACCAGGCCAAAGAGTTGCGGTGGGATGTTGAAAATCACTTTCTGATCTTGTGAAGCAGATTGCGCTCTGTTGTAATCCGCCTGGGCTGTCTAGAAAATTATCGGATGCATGTTGGCACTCGTATTCTCATTAACCTTGCAAGCATCTTACTATTAATGCATCACTCGGAACTCGGCACCATCAACGGCAACTTCGTTATGATACAGGTTCAGGCCATAGGGGCCGCTGTCGGTGGTAGGTAATGTTCAATGTGATCAAGATACTCCCGGCCCTTGGGGTGGACCAACCTTTCCACTAGTGCCTTCGTTTACAAGGAAAACGTAAGCATTTTCATTCAATTCCAATAAAAACCTGCAGGTTATGATAAGTTCTCCACAAAAGAATTACGCATGTCACGTGACAGAGGAATATAGCGAGGTTAGAGGTGGGGTTTCGTCAACGCGTCATGTGACATCTCAGTGTGAACACAGTTATTGTGCATGTGACATAGAAAGCTTTCTCTTTGCCAAGTTTATAGAGTAATTTTTAGAGGTAATGGACCTTGTATTTTGGAGAAATAGACTTTCCAGGTAGGAGTGAGGAGCAGTCCCGGCCTCGGATAAATAGCTGGGTTAATAGCTTTCATAAATGCATTAATCAAACAACTACTCGGAAATTTCATTACACACGTAGTCTTACCCGTATCCCATAAAAGTTGTAGGTGTGAAGGATCAGCCTGTTGAAAAATTAAGGCGTATTTTTGGACGACTTATAATATCCAAAGTAGTTTGTCAGATGCTCATCATGGGAGAAAAGATTTGTCTCCGAGGTATTCGTGGTGATCCTCGCGTGTAGGGCTTGATGCGTTGCGCCAGATGGTCTGAGCTAAGCAAATCGAAAATGATCCCGAGTTCATGACACCGATTTCTTGTTTCGTTTGCATTTGCTTTGCGACTCAGTTCATTACATTCGTTGCATCCTCATTATCGAAAACTCAGGGTTGATTCTGGTTATATTATTTCTCATCAGCTTTATTATTATCTGTCTCGCAGTCATCGACAATTTCTTGTCGTTCAATAACTGGAACGTCTTCGCGTAGTGGCAACTTCTCGGCTATCGGTTCATTCTCAGGCACTGCATCTTTCGAACGTGAAGGGCTTTTCTTTAGATCCCTGTCTCGAATGTATTAGAATATGGTATTCAAGAGCTAGCAATGGAAGAGGGATAAAATTAGAAAGTACTACTCACAAACTTAGACGTCGTGACAATAGTTGTAGTCCTTCATCATTATCGGCATTTTCCTTGGCTCTTTCTAATGCAAGTGCTTTGCTCTCCTCCGTCATTCGTACTACCTCGTCATGACACGGTGGCAGTCTTTCATTTTTCAAGTCTACTTTGCGCGCATCATCAAAGCCACTGATAGCACTCTTTATCCCCTCAACACCTAGCATGAGAGTACCTGCAGGTAGACGGCCTCCGGATACAGTCTTAAGCTCGCTGACACGCTCAGATTCTTCACGAAGAACTTGGAAAACTCGCGAGAGACGACCAATGGCAAGAATTTTATTCTTAATTGCACGACGTTTGTACTCGGTAGATTCAGGGTCTAGTGGCGATCCAGGAGGTGAAGAGGTGATATCTTGTGAAGTTGCACAAGGAGTCATATCTTCTTTAAGTTCATCCTCAGAACAAGTACTGAGAATGGCAATAAGCATATCAGTTATCTTTTCGCCAACAAAAGGCAAAGACCATGTAAATACATCCATAAAGTTGGGTAACCAATACGGATGAGGAGTACAGTTGAACTGTCTAATATTCATCACATTGTTTTCATATTTGAGTACGGCTGCTTTGTTGTTGTAAACATCGAGATAGTTGGGTGCCGAGAATATGGTCATAACACTTGGAAATCCTGTTGTCCGTGTCTTGCGGTACATTCGATAGCCAGCATCTTGGGCTTCGTGCGCCCGAATGATGGATAAGAGATTGTTCTTCTCCAGAAAATTGCAGGCTGCTGGGTATGAAAAGAAGTACGAGCATCCTCTAACGTGATTGTGAACAAAAAATTCAGAGTTCTTTTCTTGGCCAAATTCTTCCAATGGATCTGCCCAGAGAATATCGCACATTAATCCATGAGTCGGGGGCTCGCGAAAACGATCAACCTAAATAATCCGTCAATAAACTTGATGAAACCATACCATGTTGAGAGACTTGCATGTTTAAGATCATCTAATGTGTGTAATTCTGGACTCAATCCACCATGTATACATAAGAATTGTTTATTCATTACGGCAGCTAAAGGAAGGGCACAGAACGAGTTCATACACGCCTCGTAAATCTTCTCCGAATACTTGTGCTTGCATTCAAGCTTGAAAGTAAAGTAGTCGGTTAAATGCCTACATTCATGGTTTCCTCGCAGGAGCCATAATGAGTTTGAGTACCATATCTTTAGGGACCACAAGTAAAGAACACATTCAATACTAAAGTACCCTCGATCAACATAGTCTCCGAGAAAGAGATACCGTGTCTCAGCTGGGTCGCCACCAACTTCAAAAAGCTTCATCAAGTCATAATACTGGCCGTGGACGTCTCCACAAACTGTGATTGGCGCATCCATTTCTAACAAGTTAGGTTCCTGCTTCAGGTATTTTGTCCCTTCCTCAATGATGTAAAGTGCTTGTTCTTCAGTTAAACGACCCTCCCGATAGAAATGCTGTTTGAGGAACTTCAAGTCTGGCTTTGTAGGGTCTTCGGCCGAGAAGAATTGCTCATTTGTAGGTGGAATCATTGCTGGTGCTTGCACATCTATGACAGCCAATTAGTTTCTCCATGTGTACAAAGTGCGGGGTCTATCTGATTCGATGGGAAGTAGTACCTTTACAAACTCTCTCTGTTGTGCTAACCTGGGTTCCATCTTCCAAAGTGTGAAGCGTAAAATCAATCTCGGGAACGGGCTTTTTTTGGTTGATAGCTCGTAGTGCGTTATCAACTTGTATCTGCTCCATGTCTGCAGGTAGGGAGCTCGACTGCTCCATATTTCCGAGCTTTTAGATTTAATTAGATGCTTTCGAATGCAAATAATGTTGTGATAGAAGAGATAAGTCTTTGGGTAGCTTATGTCGTTCGACAGTTGGGGTCACAGCTCAATTTGTGCCTGTCAAAGGTAGGCGATTTCGAAGTGAACAGAAAAGCAACTTGCAATATGGCTTTGTCAGCAACAGGAACTGATTTGCGATCGACAAACCCAAATGGATATCAGGCTTAATTTGCTAGAATGTGGTTTCATGGAGATATGTGTCTGATTAAGTCGCTGCTAGTATTGCATGGTGGGATTTAACATGGTAAGCTTTCTAGCTATAAGTTGCGGAACAGACGCTAGCGTGTTGTACGGCAAGTGGCAGTAGATCTAATCATACCATCTAGCTCTTAAGCTCTGACCACTGGGCAAGTTCAGTTGTCATTTGGAATTTTGTATCTTGGGAATATTGCCATTTCAAAGGTTAAACAGCTTACTTTAACTAGTGATCTAGCCAGCAGGTCAAATGCAAGATAAGCGTGAGCCCTTTCTGCTTTTTTCATTCACCCCAGCTAAAAACTAGACAGGAACAGAACTCCTCCTGGCACAAGTACCTTTAACTGTGTCGCCATTCGTTAACCTGCCAGTTGCTACAACACTGCCATACACGTATAAAAAACTACCATCGACCCTGCCGCCATCCTCAGCCGGCATAGCTCTGGGGTCTGAAAAGAAACAGCATGCTGTCTCAGCTTCAGGACATGCAGTAAATCCAACTGAAATTCTAGAATCTTGTAAAGCTCTAAAGACCTACGTGCAAAAAGTTAAGGATGATGCAGATAGCGAGCTCAAATCGTGGGAAGATGGAATTGCCGCAAGAGATTTGGCTGAAAAGAGAAGAGTGGCCCCCGGTTGGCTTGATAGTGAAGCTCGCATTTTGCATCCTGAAAGGCCTAAGCAAGAACTAATGGATATGGGACAAATATCTAAGGATTCAGATCAACACGGTAGGCCAAAAAGTGAGCCACCGTCTCAAGAGGCAAATGAACTCGACAGGGCATTTGGTGGGCTGGACATTCATAATTAACGAGACCAAGTAATTCATAATTAGAAGTTTAAATTGACTAGAGCTCCAAAAGCCTTGTGGGGAGGATGATTGCTACTGTAAACTTATATGCCGCAGTAACATTTACACGATTATGCACAATTATTGGAACCTAATACATTAGGCATCTAATTTGTAATTGAGGATATAACCCCAGTCCCTTGTTGCAACTTTGGCAAAACACCGTCATGCCAGCGCGAATCCTGGGAGTCGTAGGCAAGAGGGTCACAACTTCTACCTCGCGACATATGTATAAATGCAAGCCATTTTGCCGCACAGTTTTTCCCCGCAGATGTCTACAAGCTGAGACCAATACTACAGTCGCAGGCTATTCCGAGTTTCAGAATTCTAGATTGCAATCATCGGATGAAAACCTGAAATTCAAAAGTAATCAAGCCAGAGCTCGCCTTCACTATCTCCTGCTCGAACTACAAAAACATGCCTCAAGCTACGTTAATCAATCAAAATTACAACTTGTACTACGTGGATTGGAGCAAATGGCAGGGAGTGAGACGATCAGAATTTTGATAGCTGGCATCGGAAAAAATCCTGATATCTTACAGAAAACCAGAAATCTTGTCAGATTGCTTGTGGCTGACCCACTGAAGTCAGAGGAAGAGTGGGAGAAAATACTCCTCGCGGAAAATGCTAGGCCTATCATGCTCAAAATAGGAGCCCATGTCCCAAATCGATTCTTCAACGATAATGGGCTAATCCAAGAGCTGTTTGTTTCTTCCTCGGCGCTTGATGGATGTGGGTTAGAGATAATCCTATTAAAATCAGAACTTGCATTTCCAGAGCTAGATGATGAAAACTTCTTGGATGCACTGCTGGTACCAAACATGAATATTCCAACCTCTAGGACTGGTAGACAGTCTCAAGTTACTATGCCAGTTCACAGGACTTTGATAGTTTCAGAAGGCTTACTTGGAATGGCTATGGCCTTAAATTTTTCTACTAAAGTTGATAAAAATATTATTGCAACAGCGGTTGATCTAAAAGTTCCTGATGTACAAAAACCTACTGTTCCGTGTTATTTCCTCGATATCTCTTCTGCAGATCATTTTTTAAAAACTTGTCGAAATATTGCAAATGGTTCTCCTCTGTGTGAAAAACCTTGGCTTACAAGTGGACTACCTCAGATACAAGAATGGCTTATGCGAAATACATCACCGACTAAAGCACTGATGAAACCACCATTCAGAAATTACATTGAGCTATTGGTTCAGGATGTAGCAGCTGCTATTGAGAGTGAGCAGATCCGTCATCTATCTACAGCATCTATGAGTACATTATCTCCAGAGTTAACTGTCAGACTTCAACAAGACCTTGAAAAGTGGAAATTTATTGGACATAGTGAGCTCCAAGAACAATTGGAGATAGCATTTAATGACCGGAGATGGCATAAACTGAAGTGGTGGAAGCTTTTTTGGAGGGTAGATGACGTGTCGATGATCGCTTCGGAAATAATCAATCAACGCTTTCTCAATACTGCTGAGCACGACGCAATCTTCCTCGCAGGCCGCTTTCAGGAGCACGGTATTCTCAGGGGATCAGAAGTGATGAACCTTGAATCAAGGGCTAAACATATTAAAGTCAGGAAGGAACCTGAAGCCAAGCTTGGAAGTAGCCCACGGTCCGCTCAGATGAAGGACTTTGTCCCTATACACGAAAATACTTCAGTTCCAAACTTCAGGGAATGCTCATGGCCACAGGGTATTCCAGCGACGCGTCTTCACTTGCTACAGAGAACTGTACCCGCACTACAATCGCTCGCTCAAAGGCTCGTGATCCAGACGCTCAGTTTATCATCATTCGCCACTGCTCTTGGTAGCTTAATGTACCTCTCCTCTTGGTCTATTGGTATCTACGAGGCAGGAGCAGTGACGGCAATATTTGTTGTAGTGTCTCTCCGAAAGATGCAGGACAAATGGGAAGCGGCACGGAAATTTTGGGAAAAGGAAGTGTATGAGGAGGGTAGGAAAGCTTTGAGAAGTGTTGAGGGACAATTTCACGCGGATCTTTCTGTAAAACCAGTGGTCCCAGTGAACGAGGAGCTCACAAAAGCCAAGTCAATTATTCAAGCGATTCGCGCCTCCCTTGCATCATGTACATGAATAGACTCAGCTAAATTTTCTTTCTGTGGTTGGTGGGAATCCCAATTGGGACTAGCTCAGCCTTATGTATAAAACATTGGACCAGGAGTTCCAAATATCAACTGATAGGTTTTAGTAAAACTACGACCCAATAACCGCTTCTACAAAATTGGTATAATGAATATAATCAAGTTATATGAAGCTCCATCTTTGGATTCTTTCACATCGCTTGCCGAACATCAATCACAAACCCCATCCTCGTTTTACAGTGCGAAGCCGGTCCTTTATTATCACGAGATTGATGCTAAAGCACTTCTTTCAAAGGACAACAATGCAGAACTGCCCCTGTTTGAGTCCAGCGAACATCTCGAAATGGTTGTATCGGTAGCAAGCTTCGAAGCTATCGAAGTGTTTGTTAATTCGGAGTAAGTCTATAGTCAAGTCGGGAGACGACTATTCATCAGTATAACTTCAGTGCCTTCATGAAAGCTAATATCAATGAGCAGTAATCTTACCCTCTTCAACCGTAGTAATTCTAAGGGAGTTAATATCCCCTACACTACCATCACTCTGCATGCAATACAATCAATTTGCGATCCGGCGGATCCTTCGCAAAAATTACAAGGACTCTATATGCAGATAGAAATCGCTGCGAACCAGACACAAGATGAATCTACCCAATTCATATTGACTATTATTCCTAAGCCAAGCATTTCTCTTTCCCAACCGAGTATTAATGCACTCTTTGAGGCAGTCTCGACTTGTTCCAATCTTCATCCGGATCAATCCATGGAAGATGATGAGCCGAATATAGGAAATATGAGCTTTTTATCTGTTGGTGATACTCCAGCTTTCTCTGCAGGTCAGATAGACAGTGGCCTTCCACCTGCGTTTCCAGGAAGTGGGGGCTGGATTACATCGGAAAATGTTTCTGAGTTTTTCGATGAAGAGGGGAACTTCAAAGCTGAGAATAAAATTAATGCGAGCACCAACTGCAACCAAGACAATGATATGAACTCTTTTATGTCTCTGAATGGACGTTATAGCTACGATCCGCTGGCAAACCTATGCCAAGAAAGCGACACCGACCCGATAACGGTCCTGGGGGAAGGTGCCGGCAGAATCCACACGAGAGATGAGAATGATTTAGACTCAGAGGAAAATAAGCGAGCCAAGAAGGATTAATTCCAGTTTGACTCATAAACGGTTTGGCATCTTGCATGCCACAGACTGTTCAGTCTTCGCCTCCCCCAAGGAAAACGGACTTTCAGTATGCTGTAAGCGAGTGCTACTAGTGCTTCTCTATTTAACCCCTAACTGAATGGGATTATTGCAAATTTTGTTGTTTATGGTCTACAATCCCAATACGCGTCATGTTCACCAAATTTTTAATCCAGGCATGGGCAAAAATGATCCATTGATCACCAGAAAGAGACTTCTAATGTCTACTCTAGCCTGAGATTCAAGTGCCCTATATGATTAGTTGCGATGTGAACTCTACAAGTGGTGTAGATCTCTAGAGCAGTAGGGCGCGAATACCGAGGAAAGCGAAAAGTCGAATATTCCTTGAAGAACTTCACTTGCCCTAATATGTACGCATGCGGGCATCAGCAATGTCGACAATAGAGATGGCTGACTACTGTACTCAACGGACAACAAATTCTTTTCTGAAATCACTTAGGGGTAGCGTTAACACAATATTTTTAAACCGTCTTTTGGATAGCTTCATGAAACAGAGCTATTTACTGTCATCGGCCAGAAACTTAAGATTCAATTCTAGATACGTGGGCTTGTATTCTCAATTGGTGCGGTAAGATCCTATCCTAACTACCGAAATCAAAGTCCTCTAGGTATAAATCTCTTTCGTCAATGCGTTAAACTTGACACCAGCAACAGCAAAGTCTACATCTCTCATAAAATCTAACGGCATTTCGACTAGAGTTCCCTTCACTAATGCAAGTAGCTCTTTCGCTTCCCTCAAACCTCCAGGAAATTCTTCTTTAACTAAGTGACCGTATTCGTACTTAGGCGGGACTCTCCTATTATCATCCTTGCTAGAACTAACAAAGAACTTTTCGTACCAATTTTTGTATTCTTCCCAGTTTTTGCAATTATCAGATGGAACAACGTGGAAAGCTCTTGAGAAAACTTCCGTATTTGTTCGTGCAGTTCTGTCCCAAAGCTCAATGAAATTATCACTAAGAGGGTCACGCACGAGACGATCGGCTGGGGAATCCCAGTCATATTCATTTGGTCCGTGGGTAAGAGGAAGAAAATTCATCGTTTGGTGGCGGGGGTCTTGAGCTGGGATGAGCCCTAAGTGCTTACGGAAAAGCTGACGGCGAAGGGAGCTAACGAAAGCAGAGACTTGGAAGGAATTACCGTCCATAGTAGATTCGATCTTGTTGGGATCTTCGATAACTACTGCAATTTCAGAATCACGGTAGCCAAGTTGTGATCGGTCGTTAAGGTTTGCACTTCCACATATCATAATGCGATCATCTGCTATGAGTAGCTTTGAATGTATATAGAGTTCTAATTGAATGATTAGATTCTTTAATGAAGAAAATAGCGGAACTTACCTTCGCTTACGAAAGCATCCATTTCGGCCTCAGGATTTCCAGTCCATGGTATGTCAGTGATAGACACGGAGTTCTCCATGTAGCATGGTGTGACACTGTCATACTGACTATCGTTAGCTGATTGCTTGCAGCCCTGTTGATAACGATCGTATTGTTGGTTTTCTTGCCCTGGACGTGCACCGCTTCTTTCACCAAAGCCGCCGTAACCGGCGCCGACTATATCATCGTGTTCTTTTCTCGCATCTTGGTACCTAACCCCACTATTTTGCTCAGCGCGAGTCATTGATGCCCCGGTATTGATACGATCGTAATTCCTCAAGTTGTAAAAGCGAATGTACTCTTTTGCGTTTGGAACACCGGCTTGCTCAATCTTCTCCATAATTGAATGTCCATTATGACAGATGCTGTGGTATTGAAATTCCATGATTGCCCGCGTTCCTAGGGAATCTTCAGCACGAAGATCTCCTGCGAAAGCAGGAACGGCTGGCATAAGCACAATGACCTTGAATTTCTGGCCTTCGCGATGGGCACGTACAATGCGCTCCACAATGGCAGCACCAATTTGGTTTCGGACGGGAAGTTGGTTATCGCCAGTTGCAGTTATGAAAAACTGATTTTCAATATAAACAAAGTGTTGGCTCTGTTTAATAATCTCGATGTATGCGTTTGCAATAGAATGCTCGGTTGCCATACCATGACTCCATTTAGAGCAACTTCTTGTTAGCTGTATATTTAGTAAGCTAGGGTTCTGGTGGTCTTTATATTCTTCCTGTTTCCTTGAAACCGGAATAGCACCGCGAAATCTATTGAACATTTCACCGCCACTCGAAAAGTCTAAATGAGAGATGCCATGAGTGGTACTTTGTTGTTTGGTATTTACATGATCGTTAGATGAGGGTATACTTGCACCATTTTGCTCGTAGAAGCCTTCTGTTATTGTCGTTGGTTTATACAATAGTTTGGCGTACTTTGGGTTGTTTCGACTGATGTATTTTTCATTGTAGATAAAATTCCATCGCTGAATAAAGTGAGCCTTCAAGTCATCTACTACAGGTCCGGTAAGGCATATTGATAGATCTGACCAGCCCATGCGGGAACTCTTCGTACGGTCGAGTTTATTATTTTGGAAATTTTTGACATCCTCAAAATCGAGAACCCGTGCGTTATTGAAGTCTTGTCCTGGAAACAGGATATTGTTAAGATCCGAAGGGTGGGCATCTGATATTGGGTGATTGTTTGTATCCCATCTTCCATAACACAGATCAAGGCCTCCCATAAACGCTACTCTTTCATCAATGAGGCATAACTTTTCATGGTGAGCCCAGAAAAGAACGACATCATCGTCGTGTACACCGTATATACTTTTTAACGTATCACTTGAGGTATTGCAGAGCTTGGAGGGCGCTGAGGTAAGATTAGTGATGGTGGATGATAGCTCCGAGGACAGCACTTGGCTATCTAATCCATGGTTTGGATGCCTGAATACAGAGATATTTTGGTGAACCTCTAAAGCATCCTTGGTGTGCTTGGAGCAAACTATGATTCGTTAGTGGGATGAGATAATAGGCACGAGCTATGGGCCAGCAAGTCTTGGTCAGATCCTTTTTTAGGACGGGGCATCAAATGCAGAGTAGAGGATGAAATTGCTCAAGATTTCCCAAGATAACGATAGTTATTAAGCAGTACTGATTCACTAGCCTGACCTGGGGCCTAGTAATGATTCAATTTGAAGTAGACTTACGTGTCAGGGCAGCAGCGACCTCTTTGTAGACAATGATATTAACCTTAACCCCTCGATCAGCGGCGGCGAAAAGCAAGCGATCAAGCCTGTAGTTTTCGTTTTTGCTTGGCGGTCTCCTCAGGTAAAGTTCTTACTCCTGTTAGTTGTTTTCTGATCAGCGCAGTAGAACTGACCAGGACTTAACCACCAGTCTAAAATCCATATACTTTCTCTTGCCTCTTGGATTGCTACGCTCACTGCCCACATGTAGCCACAGCCATCCACGTACCACTTGGCATTGTTTTGATCTCTTTCCGGTGCGAAACTCCTAAATCGATTGTCGCTTTGATGGGTATCGTCATGGTCACTTGCATGAATGCCCCCAACACTCTGTTCAATCTTGTCGCGAAGGTCGTGGAGGGGTTTCTTCAGGTCATCCGCTATATCGTGGAAGGAGGACTTTATGTCATTTAGGAAGGACATGGCTAGGACATAAGCGGGGTAGGATTTTGGCGTTCAAAAAACTTGAATAACAGCCACTAGTAGACGATAGCAGTAGTGTTACTAAAAATTTCCTGTATGCCGTATCGATATGAATGCTTGTAGAGGAATTGACTAAGGATAAGTAGAAGAATCTCTATTAATTCAATTTATAGGTCCTTAGCTCACCCATCGTCTGCACCCACGGAATCTATGTATCCGTAATGCGCACAGACAGCTGAGCCCACGCTCAGCTATCCGACTAGCGATGTCCAAAAAAAGATAAATGCCCGACGTAAATAGTATCAAATGCGGAGCTCAACGGCTTGAACGCTGTCACCGATCAGACAATTATCCTTGCTTTTTGGGCCGACAAGGCACAGGCAGTCAGGGGGGAACGAAGAGGAGGGCATTCTTTTCTGCCATTTCACCACGCTTAACGTGTATTGATAAACTTATCTTCTGAAATGCCCACACTTATCTATCTAGGGTGTGGTAAAGGTTGCGATATGAGGTTAGCAACAGAGCAGTTTCCCTATATCTTGTTTGAGGTGGAAGGTGTAGCCGGCTCGCCCATAATAGCTGGAGAGTGTAAACGCGATTGAATTGATTGAACGACAACAGTCATTGTGCAAATGTGAGTTAATCAGGTCTTATGGGCACGTAGAATAGCTAGGTATTAGCTAAAGTCACGCTCTTTGCTGGTTCCTCATACGTCTCTAACGGCCGGACGGTAAGGGTCATTATATCCCGGATGGTCATCACTATCCTACTGGAGCAGATTCAAAAAATTTTAAAAGCTCCGTCATAACTCCAACATTTAGTAAAATTCATCTACACCTCCCGGAATACTCGTAACACCCTCGCAGTACTGGCCGAGATTTGTTTATCTTATACTTTAAGTCGTGCCGACGCGCGACTCAAGACCTAAAGCTGGATACTGGCTAGCTCACTTCGTCTAGACTACGCAATGTACTGGTGCACACGACAACGTAAGACGGGCCTGCCCGCTGTGGAGCGCCCAATAAGCGGCACAAGCCTTAGAGGGATAAGCGCACCCTGCCCCCTGCTCCCACGACGTCATCCTCGTCATCGATCCTCCTTACCTGCCAGTTCTGTGGCCATTTGCTATGTCGAGTCTATGTAGGCGCCAACACGTCAGGTAGTTTTATATAAACTGGGATAACCGGTACGTTAGGAGCTCACGTGCTGTGCGTGGGCACGACGTTAAATATTATAAATAAATAAATCACTATGGCTATCACTGTAGCTATTCCATTCAGGCGATTTACGGCGCGAAGAACAACGTCTACATGTCAGACGGATCGGGTTTTGGGATTCTGGAATCTGAAGAGGAGGTTTAAGGTTGAAATGTGCCTCAGTAAAGCCTTCGAGGCTTCAACAAGTTAATAGTAGGACGCCGACTGGAGAAAGGGTGCCTGCGAGCTCATCTTCTGCTCTCAGCTTGGGTCAGAAATTGTCACTTGGAAGATGTGGCAGGAAAGTGAACGGGCGAGAAGCGCGGGATCCGGACCTAATTGGGATTTCCTCTAAATTTGATTTTTGTTTTGCTTATAACATCATTATTTATGTGGAAGTTCGCGCGGTTGGAATGAGTTGGGCCTGTTTACAGTGATCCTTACCGGCTCCACCGGTCCTGTACCAATAGTAGGATGTAGAGCTTTTTACTTTAGCTCAGGACTTTAAAACTTCAGCAACAACTGTGGCTATCACTGTGGCTACGTTCCAGAATCTATCCTGCTCAATATCACTGAATTAGCGATATCCATTGTTTTTTCTTTTTAAACAAGCAAGACAATTAGTAGCCTCCATGTTAATTTAGCAACTTTAGCACGAGGGGGTTCTAGCTGCATCAGCTCAACTGCCATTAAATATATGAAACTTATCCCACCTAAGTGTATTTTATCGTTGTCAAGGTTGCGAAGAATGAAGGCCTAAGGCAGGGAGTGCAGATAAGAATTCCTGAAGACTAATTTCATATCAAGGAAACAATGACCCCTCAGTCATTGAGGTTGTAGAGCGCATCGAATTAAGTAACTACCCAAGAGAAACCAAGTACAAAATTTGTAGTTACGTGTTTGTCGATAATGTAGTCTACTTGATAGCCCCAATTATTTTAACTTCTAATACTTCATTTATTTGATTTGACCTGAGTAACTTACCGTATCAGGCTAAAGTTCTACATCCAGGATATATAGTCGAAAACTTAAATAGGATATAAATGGATAAATAAATCTACGCCCAGGAAGCTTGATACGGGTACGTGTTCCTGAATGACCAATAACTACCACTGAAGCTAGCTTTATATGGCCAGAAATTTACATGAAAACCAAAAATGTAAATGAAAACTCTTGTTGCCCTGACTCGACGCCCTGCGCCTAACCAGCTTTATCATAACTGTTTTCCTTATTTCATTTATCATGCTTTAGGCCTTTAGAATACGCAACCTTGACGATATGGCTTCTATTCCTAGTCAGAGGGGTAGATGTCTTATTTTTTTTGCATCAAAAGCACCGCTGCAGTTTCATGACTCAATACCCCGCCGGTAAGGTCGGAATGATTTTTGTTGTTTTTAGAATTATATAGCGGGCTACAGATTAAATTATTGCTGTAGAGTATCGGAGAGTGAGAAGTGGCTACGTTTCCTAGTTATTCCTGCTACGACCAAGGGTGGGTGGCTTAATGTCCCCCATGCATCATATTGTCATTCTTAAAATATTTGGGAAAGCGGGAGATTTGTGCAATAGGTAGTTTCCATACAAAAATTCAGCATAATCTCTTCCGACAGAACTCTCAGCAAAAGCCTTTCCAGATCCATCTGTGAGGGGAAGCTGAATCCTAGATCTGTGGGAATATTCTACCTCTAGGATCGTAGAGAGCTCAGCCTACAGGTTTCAGTTTTAGTCCTCCAAGTCTCTTGACGTAATATTTGTTGGAATATTTTGGAAATGTGAGTAGAAGGTGACAAATCATCGAAGGGTTGTTTCTCTATTCTTTGGCAATCGAGTATCTAAAATAAAGTTTTTCCTCATTTAAAACCGTACTAGATAACTCACTGGGAATAGTGCTACCACTGTAATATACCAAAACGTGCACAGGACAGACAATATTAATATTACTTGATAAAATTTATGAAGGTGTTCTAAAACTGCACTAAGCGTGCGTCGGACATCAAGATGTTCTGGTCATATGGTGAAAGGAAAACAGAGCACGTGATGTAGTCTTAATGTATCTAGTGCTGAATAGATTTCTCTAGGTAGCTACAATGTGTCATTTGTAATTACCTGAAGTACAGTTCCGCCTTTGAATTTGAACTTGAAATCTTTTACGTGACAGGAAGAACCTAACATCTATTTAGACGTGACACGGGTAGATGGGCTCTGAAAGCTCATTGCTACCTACATGACCGGCAGTGGAGCCAGAAGCGACAAAAGAAAAGAGTGAAAAAAAAAAGACCAGTATGTGTCTGAGTTACGGTGCCCTGCGCCGCATCCCTATCTTCCACACCCATCTCCTCTCGGGTCAGAAACAATCTCAGCGTGGTCACCTCCCACCCTGTTCATTCTTCGGCAGACTGTAACATCGGCTTGTAGTTAAGAATTGAATGAACTTCTGCCATCCCTTCTCCCCTATCATTTCCCTGGCCCCAGATGGGGCCATTTTCTCATAGATTCTCCAACGTAGCAAAGCAGGTCGGCACTCTGAAAAATGCCAGGGCCTTTTCTCTCGGCCGCAAACGCATTTCAGATCTTCATGTTCGGGGTTGAAACGTGGATGGTAGTCGGCATAGTCCCCGTGGCCTGTTCTTGCCGCAATAAGACGATGGTACGCCCATCTTGGTAAAGCTAGTTTCGGTGGTCTTTTGCAACGCATGAATAGATCCAGATCTTTGTATCGTTTCGGTCGATACTTCTGCCACCACTCTTCCACAAGCTATTGGCTACGCTGTTTAACCCACCTCCCTAATGCCGCAAATGTTAGATCTTGATCTTCTAGAATGGGCGCAGCTGAGGTTAATGACCGGTTATTGGAAGCTCCCAAGGCTGATTTGGCCAGCTTATCGGCCTCTTCATTGCCTTGAATCCCCACATGCCCGGGTATCCAGCGTATTTCTACACGCTTATTGTGTCCCAGCGATGAAAACTTGTCCACCACCGACTGCGAGGAGTTAGATCTTCCTCTTTCGAGCGCCTGGGTGGCCGCTTGGTTGTCCAGAAGAATGCAGATCAGTAAGTCTTTTCCTACCTCTATTGCAGCCTTCAAGGCTTTCATGGCACCTACAACTTCTGCGTTGAATACCTCTGCCCCGGGAAGTGGACCGGAGCCACTTGCAACTAGCTTGCCTCCTTGGTATACTACATACCCCCAGGATGATTTTCCGGGACCCGATGATGATCCATCAGAGAAAGCGAAGACTAAATTAGTTGGAAGGGAAGCTAACTACCGCTTTATGCTTCCAGACCTAGCTTCATTTTCTCGACTACATGGAATCGATGCTGGGGTGCCACGTGGGAAGTAAAGCTTTCCGGGGCCTTCGTCTGTCGGAACTCGACGCACACTCATTTGTAGGCGTGTCATGTACCTTTTTGGTTGTCTGAACAATCGATCTCTTTGTCCTGATCTAAGACCTAAGCGTCTTATTGTCTCTTTCGGATCCTCAGCCGCCCCAATGGCTAGAGGGTGCCAGGCATCCATTCTTCGCATACGAGCTGCAGACCGCAGCATCTTTTGCTGAAGAACTATCGATGCCGGGGGTATTCCCGCTTCACGATGAAGAGCACCATTGGGAGTGGTACGCCACGCTGGGAGTGCTACTCTAATAGCTTTCATTATCGTTTTTTCCAATAGAGATATATGCCAGCCTACTCCAGTGCCGACTTCTTTATCTCGCAGTGTGGTTATTCGAGTGAGACCTGGCCACCACGCTTCTGCCCCGTATAGAGCTGTGCTCAGGACGCATGCATGTACCGCACGAATCAGAG